CCACATCCAACCCAGTATAGCCATCGAATACACTCGCTCGCCGACACCAACACCTACATCGTCTATGAGGAATGGTTTCTTCGTCTGAAAAGATGGAAGAAAACGCGTTTTTTTAAAAGGTTTTTCTTCCTAGGATCTATGTTCGCGTAAAATTAAAATATTTTTTGCGTCATTCTCTCTTAGGATAAGCGAAATTTTATTTACTTCATCTCTTCTGTTCGGTCACCAAATTGACAAAAAAACTTGTTCTTTTTTTCTATTTACTGTTGTACGAAATAAGCATAAGAATTGTGTGATGTCTTGAAGAAATAGAGAAGCTATGCGTGACTAACAGAACAAATGAAAAAGAACTATTCCGGTTGGTGTACACGAGAAAAAAAATACCGTTTGTGTAGTTTTTTTTTGATAAAGTATGAATGATGCCTTTTAATAAAAAAAAACACAACTTTCGAGATTTCTGCATACAGCAAGTCTTGCAATACAAAAAACACGCATAAATTGAAAAAAGACACAAGGCAACGACAACACAATATATGTAATTGTTATGCTCCAAAACAGCAAAACAAGTGATAAGAAAAAAAGTGGCGCATAAAATCATTCCAATGCACGATTGCCTATAGCTAAAAATTATCATTGTTTAACGAAGAATAAACACAAGACATAAACAACTATGATCGTCTTTTGGAAAGAATACATCCTATTCGTCGATATCGAACATTACGAAAGCGATGACTGGAATTCCTTGAACTCAACAATCACTTTAAACTATCAGACTTATATGTAAACAATCGAGTCACTTGGAATACCTAATGATACCATGTATTTTTCGAAGGTTCGGATCGGATCTGTATCGACTAAAAAAGCCGTGGAATTACTAGTTATTTCGTGTATCTCCAGCCTTATGTCTCTTGAAGTCCCATTCTGAATGCATGGTGATATATTTAAATGCTATCTACTAACGTGTACAAGTAATTGTGTGATGAAAATTTTCAGTGATTTCGCAGAATACTATAGTAAGATGATTCTCAAAATTTCAGCCTAAAATCTTTTGTACAACTTAATTGTAGGTCTTACATCTATAGTTACTTGACTCAATGAAATCATTCAACTTAGTGTACGCGCAGAATAAGTCAGTTTGACGCATATAACGTCGCGTTCAGGGTGTGGGTGTGGGTCGGTGTAGGTGTGCGTATGGGTGTGAATGAGTTTTGTGTGGATGTATGTGCTAATTACAAAAGAATATTGTATTTATAGTTACACCCGCCCACATCGACCTAAACTCACACTCCCCTGACACCCACACCCATGGATGGAACCGGTACCGGTCCGAACTTTAGACCGGATCGGTTCCATCTATGCCCACACTCACACCCGAGATTGATCTTTTATAAGAGATCAGACTTTTTTATTTTATTTGCGCTGAGCTTTCCTATGCTTAACTTTCCTGTGCTCATCGTTCCTTGTGCTTAACTTTCCGTGCTCATCTTTCCGGTTCCCAGTATTACGCTTCATCATCGTAATGTCACACGAGTAAAACTATCAAAAGCCTAAATTGTTGTTGCAAAAATAGAGATTTGTAAGTATCTCGATATTCAAATATGCTTTTCGGAGTTTTTACGCAGAAAAAGCGTACACTTCAACCGATATTTTAATCGAGTAAGTCATGATTGATCACGATGATGATCGCATGAAAAGTATTTATCGAAAGATAAATAGTGTTGCAAAATGATCAATTCGTTGTTTAGTTTAAATATCAAATTACCCAAATTCTAACAGCTTACACTCAGGTCTTATACTTTTATATTCCTTTAAATTTTAGATTTTGTATAGAGCGATTTATTCCTGATTTCATATAGTTCCAACTTATACACCTGAAATCAATATTAAAGCAAGACATGGCATCTCCTATTACTCGTAAGCGAAGCGTGCATGCATTATAACTAAGTAATATATCATTGACATTTAGCTACTGACAATTCCGTGCAACAAAAACATGCAGAATCACAAGCCTTCACAACTTCATTCCATGATGGTTTGTAAAAAAGAATTTTTGTATCCTATATCGTATATCCTAGACGCTATTTTCGTCTCTTCTTCAGCTCCTGAAATCTACGGAAGTCACACATTTGATTTCCACAATAACTTGGATATATTATCACTTGCTGAAAGTTTGGCATCCGAAGCTAAATATTTAATAAATGAAGTCGAAGCTATACAATTACCAAATACTGACCGTCAGTTTCAGCTGGAACTACGGAAAATTAATATTCAAGATGATAATTGTTTAACGTATAAAATGTCACTTCGTATCGATTCGGTCTTTTGGTTTAAACGTCATCGTCTTCATGGTGATAATGTACAGGATTTAGATAATTTATACAAAGTTGCTTCTGATTATGTTGAAAAAGTTAAAAATGAAACCGAACATTATCCCAGAATCTTAAATGAACATGAAATATATCGAATACCAGTCAGTAGTTCGAAGTGGTGTCATATAGATAGAAAGGGACAAACTTGTCACCGGTACGAGTGGAACTCATGTAATGATAAACATTATCGATGGTGTAATGTTGAAAACTACGGTCTTACTGGCAAGTGCACACCAAACCATTATAATAAAAATATCATACATACCTCCGACATCCGTAAAGGGGAAATACCTGGTTATATATGTCGCTATAGCAGCCTAAAACTGAATCGAATCTATGCATTTTGTCAATTTTATGTAGATCCAGACTTCTGGATTTATGCAGATAGTGTAAGCAAGCCATCAATTTATCCGTATTTTATCGTGGCTGCTCGATATGATGCAACTCCAGTAATTACATTAAATCCTGTAAAACACTGTAAGAATGAAGAGTATGTACAGACTTCTGATGCATGGCAAGCTGTTTTAAAAACATTACGATATATAAAAGATCAAGTTAAAATGGATACACTTCCATTAAGTCGTATTTATATCAATTTTGGCAAATGGATGCAACAAAAGGTAAATGATTCATCATGTCGACATGCTCATGCTCATATAAATATCGTTTTAACTCGACAAACAATCGAAAAAATTAATGAAATAAATCTTTCCGAAGATAAGCAACATAAACATAAAAATTTGTTTCAATCTCTTGTTGGATCGATTCTTCCACCTAAAACTCATCGGCTTGACGATTCACTACAACTTATCGAACATATGAATAATCATATGACACCTCTATTAATCAAGCGAAATCAAAAATTAGAAAGAAGTGTTAGTATTTTGAAAGCAGAATTGGAAGCATTAAAAGAAGAAAACAAATATTTCAGAAACTTGACTTTTGGTCCGACATATACTGCACAAGAAACAGAGGATACAGCACAAGGCACTGATGCGGATGATTTTGGAACAGGGGTCAACGAGAAAGATTTTGAAACAGGGATCAACGAGGAAGGTTCTGAAACAAGGATTAACGAAGATGGCTTTGTAACAGAGATCAACATGGATGATTTTGGAATAGGGATCAACGAGGACGATTTACCATAATTATTTTACTCAAATTCTTTTGATGAACAGCAACTAGCAGGAACGTTACATTTGCTGATACATTTTTGCTTTTAAATAATTAAAATTTCTTGAAAATATCAATTGAAGTAACAAATGGACTCTTCTGTATTCCTAAAATGTTTGTGCTAGTTTCATCCTCTTTGTGAGGATTTGTATGTGGGTGTGAGTGAGTGGGTGAGTGTCCATCGTCTTATAACCCACACCCACACCCACACCCTCAGCTCCGTATACAAAGTCTTCAAGAATCCTACAAGTTTATTTATTTCCATTTCCTGCGAATAATTATCATTTAAAACAACAAGATTGACAATAAATATGATAACATTCATTGCATCTATAAGTACGACGAGTAGTACAGTTACATTCGTAACAGGCACGGTCATTGTAACCATTGCTAGCATCATCATAAGAATCATAATAGGTATAATAACGACGAGGACAATGACCGCCGGTATGGTAGCTAGTACATTGATTATCGCAATCATTGAATGGGCAGACGAAGTGTTGTTTGTTTGACGCCTTCTGGATATTGTTCTCGGTTCGGCCTAAACAGATGAGTAAAAGGAGTATAGATTGGCCTGATGGAAGAGCGTATTAAAAATCGACTTAGTTTACGCCTGTGAAGATTGTTACTTAGATTAAACACTACATGCTATTTAGTAATCACAGATCATTCTTATATTTGCCAAGCTGAAGTATTCGGCATTGTGCGAGAAAATTCAATATTGCATGCTTGACATATCAACAAAGGATGATCTTATAGTTTCTAAAAGTTACTGATCTTGGATGTAGCAGAATCCACTCGGGTCTTTTTCCATTTTTAACTTGTTTTTGTTCTGGTACTTTAATAATATCGCTCTAATAAATGCCTTTAGTGAACACTGTAAATCGAGATTTCAGCAGGACTAATCTCTTCCATTCCGCCCCGATCCTACTTAGAAAAATCCAGTACCGGTTCAAGAATCACTTCAACTACCTCTTCTCAACGCTTTCACAGTGTTTTAAAAGAATATTCATGAAACATGAATTGTAATAGTATGACATTAACTAGAAAGATATTTCATAGGAAGTGTTTTTAAGTTTACAACATATCCCAAGGGGTAATCAATCATCAGATAAGAAATGAACAAACCTGTCGACATCGACATTGATGTCGATGTTAATTCTGACTGTGTTGCTGTCTTATTGTCCATAAGACGTTCTTCAGTACTGAATTTCTCTAACACTTTGATCATATGAATAGACGAATGTATTTCTTCATCCTTTATAACGTCTATGTTCGGCGACTTCTCCAGCGTCTGTTGCAGTTGCTTCAATTGGTGCAACCATTCGTCGAGTTCTTTTTCGGTGTACACAGTTGACGCCTGGTTTGATTTCAACTGCTGGGCCAAGTTTCCAAGTGAATCTGTCAGCCGATCCCTCGAACAATCAAGATATACTTGCAGATCTCCTCGAGCTTGTTTGGCTGTATCTTTAATCTTTTGAATTGATGCTTGTTCCCATGTGTCAATTTGTGACATAAGTGGATGCACAGTTCCTTGCGGTTTTAGTGCTTCCAGTAGCTGATCATGCTCATGCATGACTTCATCCATTCTTTTATCTAGTTCTTGTCGATGTTCCGTAAAGTGAGGAAGACAAAAGTGTTTTTCACATCCAGAACACGTAGCTACTCCTTTTTCACAGCCAATACAAGGTTTCTGTTCTCTATTTGATGCCATCGAGCTATCGAGAAATAAATTTGCACCGTTTGTATCCTGATTATTTTCCGGCCTACCTTGTTGTCCTGGTATTCAGCGCGTAAGACACAAACTGTAACGCAATGTAAAACGGTAAATAAAAAAGTATTTGCTGTCGATATCAACCTGTAGAATAATGAAAATGACGATATTCATATGAGAAATATCATAGATGGAGAGATAAAAAGGTAAGAAAATGGTGGTGAAGAAAGAAAAACAAAAGCGATAACAGAGCATTTTTTCCTCACATTCTCAATGTTTGCTGTTAGCGCACCGGTAATATCTTTCTTGCACAAAATGTTGCTAATGTTGTAATTCATTAACCAGGCAGTCATGGTCAATAAAAAACGCGTTTACACATTTAAAAAGTCGAATGAGTTCCGAACATGTGAGACCTGTCCGATTTCTGTGAAATCCGAAGTCTTAGAATTTCCTATCTTGAGAGTAGATGTGGGTGTGTATTGGTATGAATTTCGTATTCATCTCATCCACACCCACACCCTCAATATGAATATTCAATGTGAACAAATAATGACTTCTGATTATAACTTCTTGAAGATAAAGTGACATTTAAATATTACAACATCGAATAAAACACTATTGTTAGATATATCATCACATGAATGTGTTATGTTTTCAAATTTGAAGTGTAATTAAATAATGATAGATTCGAAAAAAACAAAAGTTCACTAATAGACGAAATATATTCATCTAAAATGAAATTGATTATAGCGTTAATTTAGTTAATGATAATAATGTACTTATTTTATTGGATATCTACGAACTACGGATCTCTATTTGATTTTTCTTTTTTTTACTTTTTCGACCATCTAATGAGTATCATATGTGTAAAATCAAAGGAATATGTTGCGATGACGACATTAACCGAGCTGGTAACAATACTAACTTGCTAGTGCATTACTTGAATAAAAGAAATGAAAATCTGACAAAAGTGTTGATGAATAAATGATTTAGGTACTGTTTTTAATTTTAATTCTTTTCAGTTATTCTGTTTGATAATTATAAGATTATCTCTCATTTGGTAAGTAGAACAATTTTAACATAAAAAACTTGATAATAATAAGAAAGTGACATGGATTGATCAATAGCATGAATAAGAGGGTGCGGGTGTGGATGTAGATAACGAATAGATCCACACCCATACCCATTCACTCGAGAACGAAACGAGATAAAGACTAGAGGTTCTGACGATATGATAATCATTAATATATCTCATCTACACTCGCATCGTGAATTTTTCTTGCAATACAAGGTACTTCTGCTACTTAATATTAATTATTATTTACTCTTTTTACTGATAATATATGTGCATGATTGAGCAGATCTTATTGATCGTTCATAAGAAAAACTTATTATCATAACTTTATATCCTTGTGTAATTTCAACATACGATAAAAAAGAAAAGAAAATGCTGCAAGACTTTTGACGTGCATTATTTATAAAGCAAATATGTCTTTTTTTTCTTAGACACGATATTATCTCTTATCTTTGAAGAAAGTTGGAAAAAATGAATTCTTTTTTTTTTTCTTCTTTCTACTTACTTAGCTTTACGATATAAATTGAGTGATACACAAAACAGGATTATAGTATGGGTAATAGTAATAAACATGAAACATCGAGAAAAGAAGAGATTTGATGCTCATTTAACTAGCGATGTTCGTTTGCTTTCTCAACAATTAATTATCCTCAAATTATCAACATATGGCTCAAAATTATCTTCTCCTCTGGGTAGATGCCACCATCGACGAAAAAAAGAAGAATTGTCAAGACACGTTGGTTCAACTGAGGAACGTAGTCAACGACATCATCCCGTGGACTCAACCGAATCAATGCATTGAGTCCCTCAATCAGATTGGCAACGAACGAGCCTTCGTTATTACATCAGGCTCGATAGGTCAACGTTTGGTTCCTAAAATTCATAATATGTCGCAACTAGATACAATGTATGTCCTCTGTGGCAATAAATCCAAACATAAAAAATGGGCTAAAAACTGGATAAAAATCAAAGGTGTCCATACAAACATCAAAGAAATTTGTGAAGTATTGCAATTGGCTACTAAGCAACGTGATCAGGACACAATTGCCGTAAGTTTTCTCACGGTAAATGAAATGACTTCGACTGATAATCTAAATCAACTGGAACCAACATTTATGTATACACAGATATTCAAGGAAATTCTCCTTGATATGGGACATGATAATCAGGCCATCTCAGACTTTATTACGTACAGCCGACGGAATAATTCCTGATCGTCAATCAATATTAATCGATTCGAAAAAGAATACCATTCTCAATCAGCTATTCGGTGGTATACTTTAACACCATTTATCTACTGTATGCTCAATGATGCTCTACGCGCAATGGAAGTCAATACCATTATTAATATGGGCTTTTTTATTCGCGATCTTCATCAACAAATTCAGCGCTTATACCAACAACAAATTACTAAATACCATCAGAAACCATTCATAGTTTACCGCGGACAAGGTTTATCAAAAGAAAATTTCGAAAAATTACAAAAATCAGAAGGTGGTTTAATATCTTTCAATAACTTTTTATCCACTAGTACAGAAAAAGACATATCTCTCGTATTTGCCCGAAGTGCGTCCGAAAAGATGGACATGATCGGCATTGTTTTCAAGATGTTAGTTGATCCTCGTATTAAATCAGTGCCATTTGCCTTCATCACGGAAGTGAGTTCGTTTGATGGAGAAGACGAAGTTCTCTTTTCAATGCATACCGTCTTTCGAGTGGGTGCAATTCAACAAATGGATAATAATAATCAACTTTATCAAGTTGAATTAAAATTAACGTCGGATGATGATCAACAACTACGATTACTTACTGATTGGATACGAGAAGAAGCTGCTGGTATTACTGGATGGCAACGATTAGGTCACTTATTGCTTAAAATTGGTCAATTTAATCAAGCTGAAGAACTTTATAATGGATTACTCGAACAGGCATCTGATGAGAGTGAAAAAGCGCTTTATTATAACCAGCTTGGAGGTGTCCATTTTAATCAAGGTAATTATAAGAAGGCTGCTCGGTATTTCGAACAAGGACTTGAAATCTGCCAAACAGCTCTTCCTTCAAAACATTCTCATTTGGCTACTTCATGCAACAACATCGGTAGTGTGTATAAAAAGATGGGCGAGTACTCGAAAGCACTTTTATTCTATGAAAAAGATTTTGAAATCTGCCAAAAAACTCTTCCTTCAGATCATCCGAAGTTGGCTACTTCATGTAACAACATTGGTAGTGTATATAAAAAGATGGGGGACTATTCCAAAGCATTATTATTTTACGGAAAAGCACTTGAAATCTGTCGAAAAGCTCTTCCTCCAAATCATCCTCATTTAGCTATTTCATGCAACAACATCGGTTTAGTGTATGACAACATGGGCGAGTACTCGAAAGCACTTTCATATTTAGAACGTGCTCTGAACATATGGCAACGTGCATTACCTCCAACTCATCCTGATATTAAAAGTGTGAAACAAAGTATCGAAATTGTAAAAGTACAAATTATAAAGAATATGTGATAGAAAAATAAATAAAAGAAGATTTTATTCAATATTTTGGTGACTAACGCACGCATACAGAGAATAATTATGTTTTTCTAATTCTTTGTGAGAATGTTCTCTCTAATAAAAAAAAGAAGAAAAAAAATATTACTTCAAATAGAAATCATGAAATAAATCAAGTGTGGGTGTGCATGGAAGATATATCTCTTCTTTCCTTTTAAAATCGTCATTTCGCAATTGAGTGAAACTCGAATACCATTTAACTGCTTCAATAAACAATATTTTCAATAATGAATCATTCGATAAAAAGAATATTATTAAAAATATTTCTAGTCCGCTTCCCTCATATGACACGCATATTCGACGTAAGGTTACCTATTTTTCTCTTTCTCTGACGAAATTTACGCATTTTTATATGTATTTTTTTCCTTCGTTCTACTTATATTACGCATTTATGTATCTAACGATGTAAACTTCTATAATATTATTTTCGTCAATGAGAATATTAATTATTCGCTTCATTCTTCACTGCATATACCTCTTAAATATGCTTACATAAAAATATAAATACTGCATCATAATTTGCATTCGTGTCTACTATTTATATATATTTTTTCATTTAATAATCTATCAAACTGAAAGGTAAATAAAAAACCTTTGTGTACATAAATCTTTATAGAAAACTTTCTAGTTCGAATAGTATATAGTATATGAATAATAGATAATGTTGTATGATTGATATATATAAACTTATTGTTTTTTAGTTATAATGCTTCGTTTACTTTTATTAGTATGTTTGGCACATTTAGTCGGTAAGTTAATTATTGTTGATCATCAAATAGAATGATTTTCCTTTTTTTTAGTTGGTAGAACGATCACTGGAAATATTGTCCTTAAAAGCAATCCTGATGAGACTATTGTGTTACCAAATGGATGTCAATATATCGTTCAAGTTGTCGATGCATCACTAGCTGATGGTAAAGCTACTGAATTAGGAACAACACAATATACACTAGTATCATCTTTACCACAATTATATACGGTAACATATGTACCTAGTGGTCTACCAATGGGTTCTGATTCACTACAAGCTCAAATAAAATGTCCAAATGGTCCAATGTATATCAATGATCATAAAATATCTGTACCGGACAAGGAAGGTGATAACATAACAATAGATATTGGAGTTATTAGCCATCACTGAATATATACTCGACTCTAGCTGAAAAAAACTATTTTATAACCATTATAATACTTTATTTCTTAATATTGCTTTTATTTTGAAATGAATCTTAATAATTCAATAAATATAAATGTTTTTATTGAAAAGGATTGATCGTATAATTACCAAGTAACAAAAAGAGATTTTCATTGAATATTGTATTTATCTATAGGACAGTTTCAATAGATAATCTTACAATTTACATATAACTGTTATAGTATCTTTCTACTTAAATAAGCTGACACTTTTGTCTAAATCCTAATTATATGTTTCAACTTAAATTAAGACTAGAAAATTAAACTACTTTAGATTGTTTTATAACTTATTGTGATCAAAATTGTGAGCGTTTACTTGATTAAACAGCGATTTATTATCTGTATATGTTCTTTGGTCAAACTGGATTAACTTCGTCGTAATTTATTCAAGAATTATAAATATATGTTTTGTATTAAATACTAGTTTTTCACTTCTAATAATAGATTTAAACACATGAGTAAAAAAGCTCGTATTTCAATTAAAATTAAATGAGATCATTAGATTTCTACGTAATATTACTTTCATAGTAATTGCTCGGGCCCTTTCAAAATCTCCTAGAGTACTCTTGATCAAATATAGATACAACATTACTACAACTATAGTCAAAAGGAGTACAAGCTCGTCAGGAATGCTTCAGTGAAAGACAAACTGCACAGCCATTTCAGCCCATAAGCTCCATTCTAAGTTGTCGATGACAATTGATCGTGATGCCTATCGCTACGTCTATTCGGAAGAGATAGCAATGAGTTTTATCACTTTATCTATTTGTGGTCATAGCTAATTGAAAATATAAACTCGATTATCAATCTAATACATCGTCTTATTGTTATAGTTTATAAGGATACATTTTTTAGTTCAAATAATGTATTTAAACTTTATTTTATACAATCATTTCATTCTTTTAAAAGTGTAAAAATAAGTTTAACTAATGATGATACTATTTTTTCTCTCTCTTGATTCTTTGAAGTATTTTTTTTAAATTCATTTTTTGATCTATTAAAACAATATAATTATAAACAAAGGAAATAAATACATATGCAACTGCCCGTGCTTATCTAATATGTTTTCACTGATTTATAAAAAGTTATAATCAAATTCTAATGCAAACTATATATTTTTAATTATTATATAAATATCATCTAACATTATTTGACTAATGCAAAGAACAAAGAATTTTTCTGAGTGATAAACTAATGTATTGAAGTAGAATATTTTTTACCTCTGCTTTTGCGTTATATTTATTCTGACCTATAAAATAACACGTCAAAAAATTATTTTTCATTTTAAAACTTAAAAGTGCATATTTTCTACGATGATATCCAATACAGTTAGATTTTGGCTGTATGTTAGCCTTCTTATTCCATCTGTTATTTGCACATTATTTGCTATTATTTATCTTCTGATTAATCGAACATTACGAAATGTTCTCACCAATCATATTATCATTATTATTCTTAGTTTAAGTTTAATTTCTCAAGTGACATATTATCCATGGATGCTTTATTACTATCAGTATAAAGGTACTTGGAGAAGAGCACAAATCTTTTGTTTAATCTGGGGTTATCTTGATTGGTGTATATATATTACACAAGCAATTCTCTTTGCTTGGGCTACTATTGAAAGACATATTTTGATCTTTCATGATAGGTGGGTATCAACAAAAAAGAAACGTTTTATTATTCATTATATTCCTCCACTTTTAATTCTTCTCTATTGTTTTATATTTTACTTTATTTTCTGGTTCTTTCCACCATGTCGAAATAATTTCTATAATTCTGACATGTTATGTCTTGATCCCTGTATTACATATAATTCTACCTATTCTATGTATGAGACATTTGCGCATCTTATATTACCTGCTTTAATCATTATTGTATTTAGTATTGCTTTATTTGTTCGTGTCCTAGTACGAAAACGTCGAGTACATGGAACAATTGAATGGCGAAAACATCAAAAGTTAGCTATTCAAGTGTTATCTATCTCGATTCTGTATCTTGTATGTTTATTTCCATATGCTTTATATTGTATTATGTATGTATATAAAGTACGAACTAAAGCATTTCGTGATTTTGAAGAATATGCAGAAGTTCTTGCTTATTGTATGACACTTCTATTACCTTTTGTTTGTATTTTATCATTACCTGAACTTCGAACAAAATTCATCAAGATTCTACATTTAAGATGCAGAACAAGACGTATTGGTATAGAAACAATTACAGTGAGACCTACAACAAAGAATTGAACACATATTTTAATAGACACATTTTGATGTTGTATAGTCAGTAATGTATTGTAACAAAAAACAGAAATATAATGAATCAATGTTAAATATATAACTACTGAAAGCTATCATTTGCCAACAAATTTAATAACGAATACATAGGCTTAAATAAAAAAGAAACATTCAAAAATATCTTGATTAACACATGTGAATATATGTTCAAATCTAGGGGGAAACAGCGGACTTCAAGACTTCATGAGACTTCACGCATGAAGTCTCTTTTGTTTATTCCCCGTCTCCTCATGGAATACATGCATGGGTAGAAATTCTAGAAGACTTCATTAGACTTCTGGCGTGAAGTCTCTGTTGTTTCCCCTCGATTCAAATTGTAACAAAAAAGTTGCTTTTAAAAACTTCAGTTATATATTTTCCTGTAATTCTTCATCAGTTAAATGTATTTTTATACTTTAATGTTCTACTGATGGTTCCCTTGAATTCAAAAAAAAATATATATACTAGTAAATCATTTATTTCACGAATAATTTCTTAAAAAATA